TGTCAGGAAGTCCCAACATTTTGGTTTCAGGGTCTCTGCATGTTCTAACACACTACTGAGGACCTCAAACAGGTTTTAAACAGGGTACATCTATCCATCTTTCCCGGGATAAAACCAAAACAAAGTGCTGGACAGATGGCTCAGCAGTTAAGACCATGTGCTGAGTTCATTTCCCAGCATCTATGTCCTGAAGCTCACAGCTGTTGAGTTCCAGACCTGGGACAAATGGCTGAGGTGCCTATTTAACATATGAAAGCAGCCCTGGCCTCCAACTCTCCCAGCAGTCCTCAGCCCCTACCTGTTGGGAGTGGGGTGGCTGGCATGTTCTGAAATCTCCAGTCTGGCTGTCCTTTGCCCCCACCCCCACCCCCACCCCCACCCCCACCCCCAGGCTCTTCCCTATATTAATCCAGACATTTTGGTTACCTTTGGCCTCCTGGCTGCTGCACCTGGTTCCCCTCCCCCTTCCTTTCCACCTCTCTCCACCAGGCCCAGCTCAGCCTGGTCATGTCCATGCTGGACTCTCCCAGATGTCCCTGGCTATGCTCTCCCTTTCATCTACAATAAACTTTCTCCTCACCATGTGTAGGAGCAGTCACGTCCATTCCTTTGTATGTCTTTCCTTTCCCCCATTCAACAGTCACCTATAACTCAGCTCTAGGGAATCTAAGGTAGGGGCCCTTGAAGTCAGTGAAGAGAAAAACAAAAAGAGAGGTTTGTGTCCCAGCAAGGTGTCTGAGCATGCATCACTTGACCACTCTCCTGTAGGCCCTGCTTGCCCAGTGAGTCCTCTGAGACCTTGAAGAGCAGAAGCTAGCATGCAGTTTTGTCTCTGCCAGAGTGACTTTGCCTCAAACACCGAGCGGCCTCCCTCTTCCACCTCCAAACCATCTTTATCATTTTTCCAGTTTGTTTTGCTTCTTCCTCTATGCACATGGGTGCTTTGCCTGCATGTGTGTGTGTGTACCCCGTGAATGCAGGATGTATGTGTACATGTGTGTGTGTACCCCGTGAATGCAGGATGTATGTGTACATGTATGTA